ATTACTGACCTCTGTCATCATTTTAGGTGGGGGAACTTGCACAATCGGTGGCTGACTAAATACTTTTTTGCCCCACTGTAGCTGGGAGCTCGAGGATCACTGGAGCCGCCGAGAACGGCAAACTCCTGGCACATCGTTTTCAGATCACCGCGGTCTTTTGCTACTCAGGTTAAACGTAATATATAAGTCACTTAGATAACCTAAAAATGTTATTGTTTGTCTTTTTTCAGTGTTTTATTTGTTTGTGAGTAAATTGGTTTGGCTGGGATTAAAGTTGTTAGATTATATTAGATAAAATTAAACTTTATTAATCCCCCGGGTGGGTTCCTCCTTGGTTTTCACACAGCTGAATAAACGTCAAACAGAAAACTGATTAAACAAAAGTATGAGATGGTCGAGAATTTACACCAGTGTCCTGTTATATTTTAGATAGCAAGGAAGAGACAGCTGAGTTTATTAAACTCCACCGAGACAGCGGTGACGCAAAATCTGAAGGCTAAACTGTCCAATTTCACAGCCGTTTACTTCCAGCCTACCCGACCTTCTGAGGACCCGGCCTTCATTCGCCGGGTCCTCAGGAGGATGAATTTGGACACGACTACTATACTTCGCTGCTGATAATCGAAGCACCTCTCTCCATGGTGGCTGGAGTAGAAAGGAATAGAATCGGCCACACTTCAAACAGGGCCGCTAAAGTATTGTGGCGAGCTCAGACAAGGAGGAGACTTCTGTTTTGACTTGCTATGCCTGCTTAAGCAGTGACGCTAAGCTCATGCAGGCATGTGGCAGATTTAGGGAGTTTGACTTGCTTTTGTTTTCTGTTTTAATTGATTGAGTGTGCATTTCAAATCACACATTTATATCACTTGATCATATTCATTTAACTGTGGGAAACAAAAATCATCGTCCTCTTGTGCATTAATCATGTACATATTAATCATAAGTCAACACAGCTGAATTAAATCTGGAAAATTAGACAAGAACGGGAAAACAAAATTATACATAAGATGCAAAAGACAAATATCTACCAAAATAACAGGCTGTGAGTAACTTGTGAGAAACTGAAACAGGGAAATGTAAACATTTAAATTACATATAAGGAGGACCAGCTCTATTTTGATGCAAATATTTGTATGGATATGAAGATGTGAAAACCGTGTTCTGGTTATATGAGAGTGCAATAAAATCATTTAATCAATTAATAATCATTATCTTAATAGTGGACAAAGTAATTGTGCATCCCTCATTCTGAAAGAAAAACATTTTCTTTAAGAAAACAATGACACAACTCTTTTTAAGTGACCCCAAAATTTTGAAAAAGAAATTTTGTAAGTTTGACTGCATTTCATTTCATGTGATTGCAATATGTGGACTGAGAAAATATAAACTTTTTTTTTTTTTACAGGAACTGTAACAGCTCACCAAAATATAACAACATCATCTCCAACAGTTATAGCATCTCTGTAGGACCTCCTGTTCTCTACCAGCTGAGACCAAACAAAGGGGTGCCTAGAACTCCGACCAGAATAACTGTTGGAGAAAAAAATCCAGACAAGGCAAATAAAACAATCTTACTTGTTGGTGAAACAGGAGCAGGAAAATCTACTCTGATCAACACTCTGATCAACTACACCATTGGAGTGAAGTGGGAGGATAAAGTCTGGTTTCAGATCGTAGAGGAGGAGAAGAAAACTCAGACAGAAAGTCAGACATCAGATGTGATTGTGTACGAGATCTTTGGTTTTGAAGATGAAACCCTTCCCTACTCTCTGACCATCATCGATACTCCTGGATATGGAAACACCAAAGGGACTGAACATGATGACATCATCAGTGAAAGATTATTGGACTTGTTTCAATCAGAGGATGGAGTTCATGAAGTTCATGCAGTGGGTCTGGTGATGAAAGCAACGGATAATCGAATGAGTGACCGACCAATATATGTGTTTGATTCAGTGATGTCTCTGCTTGAAAAAGACCTGGAGAAAAATATCGTAGCTCTCATCACACACTCAAATGGAAGAAGACCAAAAAGTTCTCTTCAAGCTCTTGAAGATTCAAACATTAAATGTGCCAGAAATGAGAAGAATCAGCCCCTTTACTTCCTGTTTGATAACTGCCAGCATGAAGACCGAACAGAGGAAGAAGAATTTCTGACAACTGCATATAAAAAATCAGAGAGAGGAATAAGAGAGTTCACAATGTTTCTTGAAAAGACTTCACCTCAAATATTGCAGAAAACTGTGGAAGTTTTGAATGAACGAATCAGACTGGCATCCTGCATTCAAAACCTGCAAGAGAAAATCAGACAGGGTAAAGTGACACAGACAAAGATCAGATCGATTCAAGAAGCTCTGAAGAAACACGACGAAGAGATAAAGAAGAATGAGAAGTTCAATATCGAAGTTACTGAGAATTACAAAGAGAGATCACCTATAGATTGTTCAAAGTGGTGGATTTTTGAGAGAGCTGTCTGCTGCACTGTCTGTGAGGTGAATTGTTGCTACAGCAAAGCAATCTGGAGTCATGAAAACTGTGAGGTCATGAAAGATGGCCGCTGCACTGTTTGCCTCAATAGATGTCCTGCATCAAAACATGAGAAACAAAAGTGGGCGTATGTGGACAAAACAAGGAAATTTCAGAAAACTGATACTGAAATGAAAGAGAAGTATGAAAGTAATAAATCAGAAAGTGAAAAAAAAAAGGTTCTTTTGGAAAATGTTGAAAAGGAAATTAACCAATTGACAGCAGAGAAGTTAAAGTTACTGGATGAGTCCTACCAACATCTTGTCAGACTGGAGCAGATTGCTCTGAAAGCTGATTCAGCGTCCACTATTGTCCACTTGGACTTCCTGATTGAGGAGATGAAGGAGAAAGGAGACACAGAGAAGGTCCAGAAACTGGAAGAGATGAGAAGCAGAGTGGGTGAAGAGACTAAAGCTGCTCTACAGTACATGTGTGCAAAACTAACAGTAGCTGAGAATGTAGCTAAAGATCAAGAAGAGGAACAGCACAGCTATGATATGTCTGCAGGAAACCCGGATGTACATTTGGTTTCTATCCCAAAAAATTGATTTTCTTCATCTGGATGTAGCGTTTTCAATGGGAGAAACCTTTCATCACTAATCCAAGTGACTTCCTTAGACTCAGCTGACTGCAGGTTTCCCCAATCTTATAAACAGTACCTTTGCAAAATGACTAAAACTAGCACCACTGATTAACATGAGGTCAGTTTCATGATCATTAATATGCAGATTGCAATGACCATTGATCAACGTCCATGAGTACCATTCATACAGAGTTGGGGAATGGCTGCAATCACAGCATTGTAAATGGTGAAAGATTTGTGTTTGATTATGAGACAACTGGTAAAATAAAAAAAAGCTTTTAATTCTTCGTAATATATTTGGGTTTGGATTCCTGTTGATTTTTTTTCCTGTTAATTTATTGTTTGAAAGATTGATTTAGTTGGTTGAATTTAGGATGTGTGCTTGATGTTGATGTATACTTTTGCAGTAGTTTAATATTGAGTTTTATTTCTTGAAATATCATTGAGATTTTGACTTTTTTTCCTCTTTTCTTTTACTTTATGTTTCTGCTAATAAATTTCTGTTTTGTGATCCTCTGCCATGTTTTATCTTCTCATTATTATTCTAATATACAGTGTGGGCCATTTATATGGATACACCGTAATAACATGGGAATGGTTGGTGATATTAAAGTCCTGTTTGTGGCACATTCGTATATGTGAGGGGGCAAACTCCTCAAGA